AATCGCTGATTTGTACATGATTACAAGTTATGAGCTCGCACTGCCCTATAGCTTGCCGTTTCAACTTCACAATGAACCAAATTCCCTCCTTCCTGTAAATTTTAACAAACACAAATGAACGTTTAATCCTTGGATTGACACATCAGTGGTTGCAGCGCGATTTCAACATTCCCACGACCCCAAAAATTTTTATCGATTACTAATTAAATATAACAAAAACTATTAAAATATATTATCATATATACAAATAAATAACATGTGTATGATGTTCAATATTGGATTGATTATAATCATTCAACATATAACTCTTTTAATTAAAAATTTTTAAAATACAACATATTTCGGTTTTTTTTTTTACATAAAGGTCTGAATTGGATTTCATTCTATTTCAGGTCTAACATAAGATGGTTCTATGTTTTTTACGTGCATGCGCTTCAATTTTTGGAATTTGGGTTCCGTGCAAAATAAAATTATTTTACTAACGTACTTGTTATTATAATTACAAATTTTAAAATTCCAATCGCTTCACTCGATGGATACATATGCAATACATGATTCAGAATAAAGACGACAATTTCGAAAATCTGGTTTTTGTAAACCTAGGTCTTTTTTTTTTTTTTTTTAATATATTTGATCGAAACCCATTGTGACTCGTTATCTTATTTCACCATATTTTTTTTATTGAAACTAGACGTTTATTCGTCATTTTGATAGTAAAATCGGTTTATATATTTACCCTAATTTCAAATATGACATGATATATCATATGAAAATTATTTTTTCATAAATGAATAAAACAAAATTCTTATTTTTAATAAAAATTATGTTTGCGATATAAAATATACTTATTTTAATTAAAATCCCCTTTTATATAACAAATTATGATTCGATTATTGTAAATATAATAATAATAAATATTTGATTTTTATTTGGCTAATAAAAATAAATACATATATATATATCTACATATCATTTTAAATATATTTTATATACGTAATTAAATAATATCAAATATAAATGAATTTGTATTTTTTTTCAATTTTTACCATTTTAATTGATAATTTATTTTTTTTATTATTTTAATATTTTGTATTTTTGTATTTTTATAATCAATTTTTGAATAATCAATATCAATATAATATTAAAAAAATTTCATTATTTTTTTTTTTTAACTTACTTGTCCAGTAGACCAAATTATTCATTCCAATAGAAAAAACAAGATACAATCTAAATAAGGAATTTTCTAGATTCGATAGATCAATGGAAAGAATTAAACGGGCTTTGTATAAAAGTGATGCATAAAGATTTGCACGTATTACCGGTTATATCCATTTATATTAATACGAGGGAATTTAATATTACAAATAGATTCTTATGATCACCATTACTTTACTACCTCGATTAGTGTAAAATACAAAAGAACCAATCATTAGGTTAACCGGTGTAAATAATACGATTACTGATAATCTATTGTCTTAGGAATGTAGAATTATTTATTCACTCATTGGTTGTCTACAACAATGAACAGAACCCTTTATTGTAATTTAAGACTATGATTACACATTCTTTTTTTAATGGAATTAACTAAATTAATCAATCTGCCAGCACACATGTCTTGTATACGCATTCAACCAAGTGCGCTGAGCTTGGGCTTCACGAAGACATTGTAAATAAACATCTCGTGCTTTTGCTTCTGTACATGTAGAATGCGTTACCTCGCTATTCTTCCATTTTGCCTTCGATCAAATCCAATGTAATATATACAATGTTGTCTTGTGATGCCATAACATATCGCGTTCCACACTGACCCAATGCAACTGTTTTGCAAAGCTAATCTATTGGAAGATCCGGAAAAAGGATTGATGAGGAAAAGCCAACAACGGTGTTACGAACATTTCTATCTTTTTTGGTCAAATTCCATGTTCTTTCGGGCATGGGCAATTTCAATTCTTGCACTTGCCGGATTAATGATGTCCCAAGAAAACTAGATTTTTTTAGAGCCTGTCGTATAAAGTCGATGGATGGAGAGGTCATTTCCTATAGAAAAAAAATTCGAGTAGATACTATTTACTGTGAAGGACAATGTACCCATTCCAAAAAACGCGTCATTCTTATATTACTAATAATAAAATAATTAGCATCTCGTTTATCAAAGGTCTTCCGCCAGGGTCTATCCAAAAAGTCGATATTTGAATGCATCATTGACTCCTAATATGAAGCCGGTTTTTAGTTATGGTCGTAAGATTTCATATTTTAAAAAAAAATTACGTCATTTAACTGTACTGCTGATCTCAAGGCTCTTCCTGTTTCCTTTTTCCCCCTTGTTCTGAAAAGTAAAAAAAAGCACGAAGGAGCGAGTAACTTTTGGACTTTCACATGATACACATTCTCATGCTTTCCGAGAAATATTATTTCTAGATACAGGATACTTTATACGTATATATATTTTGCTGATCAAGAAAACTTGTTCATTCTTTCGATCCTAAAATTTAGAGAGACGCTACATGAAAATCACATATGTAAATGCGAACGGTTATGTGAAAAGGTAAGTAATTCGAAACTCGCCTGTTCTGTATCATGACGAAACCGGAAAGTTCAAGTTATTGTTAATAATCAATTATTAAAAATTTTTTTTTATTAATTTTTTTATTTTTTTATTTTTTTATACACCGTATAAACATATTTATCAATAATACAGTAACTTTAAATATGATTTTAAAGGTCAAATTCTTTAAAATATAAATAAGATAATTAAATGTAATCAGTATTTTTTTTAAAAAAAAGATGCATAAAAATTCTGATGGTTCTTTGTTTCAAGATTTCTCTATTTTAAATAGTTATTTTTTTTCTCTAGTTACTGTATATCGTATGATCACAAGTATCTTATAAAAAATCAATATTTTAAAAATATTTACTATATATTTATTTATTAAATATATACAGTATATAATATATATATATTATTGATTTGTTTAAAATAACATTTATATATTTTTAATTTAAATATTTTATTAAATAAAATTATGATTTTATCTTGCTATAATATTAAAAATGATATAATATATAATATATTTAAAAATATATTTATTTATTTTAAATTTGTTTGAAATTTATAATAAATAGTTAAAAATTATTTCAAAGACCTATTTATTATAATAATCTATAATATCAATTTGTTTATAAATAAAAGTTCATTTCTTTTTAATTATTTAGCATATAAAATATCTAAAATATAACAAAAATAAAAACAAAAAAATAGGTAATACTATTTAAGTTTGAATTCTACTTAATATATAGTTGAATATCTATTATTATAAAAAAAATAAATATTATCTTTGATTAATTAGAGAATACTAAAATAAAAATAAAAAAATTATAACAAATATATATATTTTTAATATTTAATAAATCAAATAAAAACCTATTATTTATAAAATTAAAAATCAAAATATTATTTGTTAATATTAAACTACTCAGATTATCTAAACAATCACTTGACATATATATAAATTAGTATATTCAATATAGTTATTTTACTACAAAATAATCATTTTAACAAAAAACTTAATTAATACTATAAACCAAAAACTTAATATACATAATTATAAAAAAAATCACTTATCTAAACTTTATACAGATATTTAAATAATATAGTAACAAGTATTGTACAAAATTAATTATTATTTTATTTGTTAATTAAATGAATATACAAAAAATATACAAAAATATCAAACCAACAAAACAAAAATTATTATATACCTATTTTGATCAATTTAAATTTAATAATAATAAAAAACAAATTTATTTATGTTTAAACTATTTTTTTAAATATCAATCAATAGAAAATTAAACAAAAACTTATACAATTTGAACAAATTCATAACTTAAAATAAATACTACAGATATATATAAAGTATACTAATTGAATTTAAAAATATTCTATTTAAAAAAGAATTATAAAAAATTTATTTATTTCTAAAAACTTATAAAACTAAACTATCTTATAATAAATATATTCTAAAACTAATTAAATACTATTATAATAACTTGTATAAAATAATTAATTTTATTAAAAACTCTTTTTTATACACAACATTTTTCTTAAAAATTTCTTTTTATAGTAACTTTTCAAAATTAAAAAAAAAAATATTTCTTTTGCTTCCCAATATCTACAAGTCTTCTATACTTTTTTAACTTTCACTACCAAAAATCTTAAAAAACTAAAAAAGTATACTGGTATATTAAGATGTAATTTCTGATCAGAAGTAAGCAAGCTTGGGAAACTTGCTTTTCTCTTAAATTGCATAAGGAAAGACTTATGACAGTTGTTTTTTTACAAGTTTTTCTTGAGATTTTTTCCATTTTTATTTCTTATTAAAACACTTCTTATTAATATACAAATATTTTTAAATATTTATGTTCTTAACTTGAAAGACTCTTTTTTATTTCAAAATACAAATTCTTACTTTAACTTTATTTATATTACTGGCTTGGAAAACCACTGGTATATATAAAAAACAATCTCTACCATTGCTCAATACACTTTACTATATTACAAAAAAATCAAAAATTCTTATTTCAAAATTTTTTTTCAAAAAATCATAATCAGTTTGCCCCTGGCAACTGATCAACATTCCACTTTCAACCAATTACACATTACCAAACATTCAAACATATTTATTATACTTATCAAAAATCAATGTAAACAACATCAAAAATAGAAATCTATTCAATCACATAACTTTCTTCTATTAATAAACATTAAGATAACAAATATGTTTTATCAATTATCAATTAAAAAATAACAATACAACTCTAATTTACAAATTAACAATTACCACACCTAAACTTCTTACACTTAAACAATTATTCAACCAACTAATTACTACCATTACGCACTATCAACTATCAAGAATATTCATTATTATCACAACTACATCAGCAAAATAAATAGAGTAATATGTATCAATTAATAATACTTAGAATATATTATATATCAATTATAATTCCCCTGCCAATTATTATTGATTTAGATAAATATTGATATATATTAGAGTTTATTAAATTAAATTTACAATTTAAAATTATCAATTTATATTGAAGTTTATTGATTCTTTTTAAAATTAATATTTTGATTAATAAAGAATTATATATATTTTTAATATGCATTATAATTCTTGTATTATATATAAGAATCCTAATAATTCTCTTTGATTCTGTATTCGATTCTCAAGTTTATATTAAATTTAATAGATGGGATATACCCCACCATTATTTTTAATAGTGTTT